CCCCCCGCCAGGCCCTCCCCGCGTTTCCTGGGGGCGCGCGGGGCGGGGCAGGGCTTCTCGCGCGGAGCGTGTTGCTCCCGCGGGGAAGGCGCCTCCCCTCGCTTTCCCACGCTCTGCCCCTGGCGCCGGCACCCTGCGTCACCCTGACTGAGAACCTCTGAGTCACCTTTGATTCGGACTTCTGAAGGAAGGGACCCTGGGCTCACGCGGGGACACCCACACTTTAATTGTTAGGGACCAGGAAACAGGCTCGGGGACGGTGAAGTGACTAAGTAAGGGTGACGTCGGAAGGGCAGAAGGCGGCCTGGAGCTTGGGCCTCGCCCGCCTGTATCCACCACGGTGAAAGCTGTCCTCTATGGAGAGCTATACGTGTTTCCCGCGCTGATCCAGAAGCTTTATAATGACTAAGCTGCAATTCTGCCAGCCCTGAGAAGCAACTAGGATACTGTTATTACCTCCATTTTACAGCGGGAAACAAGCGTGGGGAAGGTCAGGGACCGAACAGAAAGGAAAACCTAAGGTGTTTAGCTCCTAGGGTGCTTCTCCAAGACCCACAGAGTCCTGTCGATTCTCTCCTTTGAGAATTTCTTCCAAGTGACCTCTTTCCTCATTTCTGTGGGCATTGTCTTAGAGTAACTGTGGTATAATTAGAAATATATTTGGTCTTTGTCCCCAGTTCCTGGCACACAGCTTCCCAACCCCTTTGAATTTCCTGAGTGATAGAAGTGTCTTTTGTTATTTATTCAAGCCCTTTAAAACCACACCTGAATTATGCTAATTAGATGACTTAGGGTGGGGTCTCCAGACTGAGAATGGGGCAGGTCACTAGAAAGAAAAAGTCTTTAGAGGGTGAGAAATTTCAGTCTCATCCCCCAACTCCACCGAGGGGGAGTAGGGCTGGAGACTGAGCTCTCTCGAAAGTCTTGGAGAGCTCCTGGCTGGCGATCAGGATGCTGGACAATGGTACACCCGGAGAGAGCTTGGAGGGTCCATGACATCCCCCTTCTATACCTTGCCCTAATCCATTTGGTTATTCTTGTGTTGTAGCCTTTATAATAAACTGGTAAATGTGAGTAGGGTGTTTTCTGAGTTCTGTTCCAGCAAAATATCCCACCAGAACTTACGGCTGGTCGGTCAGAAGCACAGGCTATAACCTGAGGCTTGTGATTGGCTTCGGAAAGGGGGGTCTTGTGGGACTCAGCCCTTTAATTTGTGGGGTCTTACACTACTTCCAGGTGGATAGTGTCAGAGTTTAATTGGATTGTTCTACACCCAGTTGGTTTCAGAGAATTGGATGGTGTCAGAGAAAGCACCCCAGGATTGGCTACAGAAGTAGGATTTGCCAGACTGGCCCTGGCTCATGGAAGCACATGCTTTGGGAAGAGAGAGGGTGAAAGGTTAGAGGACAGGGAACCGTGACTCCTGAGCGTCAGCGTGGTCACCTGTGGTGTGGAACAGCAGCTGTGCTGCAATTTCTACAGGTTGAGGAACAGAGTGAAGAAATAAAATGGAGTTGCTACAACCAACCTGCCACCTTCAAGTAGGTAGAGGCATGAGGGGACGATTCTATTCCTATTCTAACTAGTCTGGGACTAAAACTACTGAACTTACAGACCTGTGTCAATGCCTCAAATACATCAAACTTTCAGATAACCTTGTGGTTACCCCGGGAAGGACTAAGGAAAGAATGTTCATGTATCCAGTTCACCTGACATCTGTGAATGGGGGGGGGAGGATTCTAGGGAAAGTAACCACACAAGGTGATCTGATCATAAATTCCTAACTGGGCAGGTCACGGTGGGTAGTTATGGCCCAGGTATATAACTTTTTAGTAGTAAAAAAGTCTACCTTTGCTTTAAGCAAGCTCTGTCAATTGTTTCTATGCATCTATGTTAACACACCTTTGAACTGAGTCATAACCACCCTCAAGAGAGCACATAATCTTGTTATCCATCCTGTAATCCAATCCCTGCTTCGCTTTCCCCCACCTCCAGGAAATCTTCCTTTCTTTCCCTACTTAATTTCTAATGCATGAAAGAAGATGCAAAACTTATTTTCTGGAGCATTTGAGATCTTACTTCCTGGCCTATGTCGTCAGTTTGGCTCAGATAAACTCATAAACGTTCTCTACATGTTTGGGTGTTTCTTACATCAACACATCCATCATCCAGTCCACTTGGTCAGCTAGAAGATTACTACCTCTGGACTAATCCAGAGGCTAAGAATGCAGGACTAGTTCTCCTCAAAAATGTATTTTTTACTACAAGAACTCTCAGCTTTTTTCTCTTTTTTAGAACCCTCTGGGTGTTGCCTGGTTGTGTTTCTGAATGCTTGAGGAAATGGAAACTAATGAGACAAGAGCAAAATATATAATCTTTCCATTGTTGCTATCTGTAATCGCTAAAATGAAAGTAAGAGAGTGCTCGGTTGGACCTTGATGCTGGATCAAGCGCAGATTTGGGTTGGTCTGAGCTTTGGCCACGAGCCTCAAAATCACCCCCAAAAGGAAAAATTATGCGGCAACCACAGAGAGTACCTCTAAGACTCTAGTCACCGAGGGGTGGTCCATGTAGGGAGAGGACAATACCAAGAAACTACTAAAACCAGGGGATATAATGTGAATGAGTTGTTTTATTTTGAAGATTAACATCATCAAATTCCTGAAGAACTTTACTGAAATGGGTTTTGAGGGGTGAATAATTTAGGGGCAGTATCTTTACTTTTTAAAAAATTATTATTTTTTAAATAGGTTTTTATTGATTTTAGAGAGAGGAAGGGAGAGGAAGAGAGAGAGAAACATCAGTCATCCCCTACTGGGGATGGAGCCAGCAACACAGGCATGTACCCTGACCAGGAATCGAACTGGTGACCTCTTACTGCATGGAGCAACACTCAACCAACTGAACCACACTGGCTACTGCTATATCTTTGCTTTTAAATGCTACAGAATGGAAGAGCATGTTTGGATTGATACAGGACCCATAGTTTACCATGGAACAATCACACTGTCAGATTTGTTTACCTGGACTATAGAGCAACCCCTATAAATGTCAAGCAGAACACCGCAGATGAAACAGCTGATCTGTTTTGCAAGGAAGCCAAGTGGAACTGGCTTAACAATGACTCATCCTCACCCGCTGGCTGTGCTCATTACCCAGATCATGGTAAATGCTATGGTTCAGTGGCCCCTTTTACGGGGGCACCACTTTGGTCTTGTCCCCCTTGTAACTTTACTGCTGCGAAATCAAGCAAGTCATCTATAGCAACCTATGAAACTGCAAATTAAATCCATAATTCCAGCCAGCAGCTGAGAACTGATGGGGAAAGGTCTCCCTCTTGTGGATTTTTTAAAGGAGTACTAGAGGGCTAGGAATCTCAAGAATTTAAGGGCACAGGCCCTGAAGAAGCAGTATTTTCTGACAGGCAATTCTAACACAATGTATACAGAACCCTAAATGGCAGGGGCAGAGGCTAATAGAGTGGGCTTTAGATTAGGGATCCTGGGTTAGAATCCTGACTCTGCCACAAGCTGTGTGACCCTGGACAGAGCATGTCACTTTCTGGGATTCAGTTTCTTCCTGTGTGACATGGAGATAATAATAGTACATGTACATGAGGATTCAATCACAAAAAGAGTACTTAGAGCAATATATACTGCAGAGGAAGTCTTAGTACTCAATGCCCTGTCTTTAAGTTGCATCTTGAAGATGTATTGACTATTATTAATTTAATGAGTTCTAGCTCCCAGCTCTTACTGGCTTCTCTTGCCCCACTCACAATGTCCATTGTCAGGGTAGAGGGACTCTGGCTGCAATGAGGTGATGGCCAAAGGGAAGAATGTAGA